CGGTAAATCATCGGAATAAAAAGTTTAACAGAAAACCTGTCTAGGGCCACTCTGTGATCCCAGTCCCGGGCCGCTTAGCCATCCCAATCCGCCCCTGGGGTTAGGGTCCATAAGTTACTAAAAAACGTAAATCATGGGTAGCTATGACAAGGAAAATAAAGGTCATAAAATATATATATAAAGGGTATGAAGAACACTTCATCAGATTGTGTTTTATTTTCACTTAGTTTCTGTTAAACACAAAGCTACATAATGAGCTGTCTGTGTTGTATCCACTTCGAGTATCGAAACCAGGATTTTAGCGTTGTAAGCCATTGCTGCTGAGCCATTGAGGGGCTTCGCTTAAACCTGAATCACGTGATCATGTTCATGACTTTAATATAGTGTAGTTAATGTTTAAAAAGGTGGGTTCTATTTTTGGGAGAAGTCAGGATTATAACAATCACAAGTTGTAGACCTATTGGTTTATAAAACTTCGCCAGCTCTCTGTGTTTAAAACTCAAGATTATAACAAGCACAAGTTGTAGACCTATTGGTTTATAATACTTTGCCAGCTTTCGGTGTTTAAAACTCAAGATTATAACAATCACAAGTTGTAGACCTATTGGTTTATAATACTTCGCCAGCTTTCAGTGTTTAAAACTCAGGATTATAACAAGCACAAGTTGTAGACCTATTGGTTTATAATACTTCGCCAGCTTTCGGTGTTTAAAACTCAAGATTATAACAATCACAAGTTGTAGACCTATTGGTTTATAATACTTCGCCAGCTTTCGGTGTTTAAAGTATATTTTTAAAGGATTTTGATATACACAATTACTACTCTACGTGGCGCTTTAGTTTTTGAATTAATTTAATATTCTAAGATCGAATAGTCACAATTTTGTGGTATTTTTTTCTGAGTTCTGAAGATAATGGTAGAAGTTGAGTTTATTACAACAAACTAGACAAGGATGTAAATGAAATAAACATTCTCACTAAAAAACTCACCATCAACACTACTTAAAAAAAGAAGAAGATGATGATGAAAAGAACCCCTTACCTCGTAACTTTCCACTTTTCCAGTGAAAGCATCTTCAGGAATGGAATAGTTGAATAATTTTCCAGCTGTTGCTATGGTGTCAGGCACCCCCCAGAACCTCTTGACTTGAATATTATTACTCTTCTGCAGTATCAGGGGGTCACTGTCACCCCTTACACAAGTCACACACACAACCTCGAGGATTGTTAACGTTAAAATCTGGATCCTCCGGGAAAAACTGTTTCTTAGATCTTTGGAAGACCTTAACAGGTTAAAAACTGAATCCATATTCAGAATCCAACGATAACTACACGTACAAATTGCTCCACTGTGAGACACCCTGGGTCAATTCTGCTCCGCACTATTTCATCGAAACATTTTCAATAGTACCATTTCAAACCGCTAGGGCGAATATTACTAAACCATACCTGAAAAAAAAAAGCCAAAAATAAGATTCTGCTGTCTTTATGAACTTCTGCGCCAGCCCTCCCTCATTTTGAAGTGACAGACTAGAAGGAAGACAGCTAATCACCACCCACCGCCAACTTTCGAACTATTGTTCACCATTACATTACAGCGCTCCTACAGCTGAAAGGGCGAGCATTTTTAGTGATGGGATTTGAACCTGTAACCCACAAACTGTGAATCAACTGCCCTAACCACCAGACCATTTTCTATTTGGTTTAATAAAAGTTTAGCTGTAGCCATGTGTGTCATCAAAATATCTCGTTAAATAATTGTATTAAGCTTCATCATATTGGTACTTTTATAATCGCCAGTAATTGTGTATCTTATAGGGTAAATGTCGACAGATCCCAGCCACTAAGTGACCCTGTCACAGTACTTTTGGTTATTATGTGCTTTGTCTAATGTTTGTCGCCTCGTTTCTTCAACGTCGCCATCGGCCTTGATCTTCTCTCTGCCTCCTAGACCTCCAGACATTTCTCAAGTCTTCATATGATCAATCCTTAAAATTTTATAAAATCCACGTACTCAGCAAAAAAATTTTATCGCGATCGAGGCGAAAGGGGATATCAATATCCCTGAACACCACAGTTTAGGAAAGCTTCTTTCCTTTAAAAACAAAATCCCTGTCACGGTTTTTGTTTGTTCTGATTCTGCATTAGAGAATTATAAAATGAAAGATAGGACAAACGAGCAGCGAAGTGTTTTGCTGAACAGAAATTAAAAGGGTCACAAAGACTTTATACATTTAGCAAATAGGTACATACAGCTAAACAACTTCAATGATGAGTAAAATATTTATGAGAGAGCCTATTACCTGACTAATTAAACACAACATACTGATTTTGAGACACTCCGTATATACATGATCTAATACGGATTTTATATATATTCCAAACTTCTACCTTTCTCAGGGGCCCAGTTCATGACTTCCACATGTTTGTCAACGTGATGCTTAGTTTTATATAAAGCACGTACTAAGAGGACCGCGCTTTCAGCAACGCGACAATGTAGTTCTCGTTTACTGTTTGTCTGGTGTAACAATGGGCACGTTTTGTTACATAGAATAGATACATTTCCCTATTCACCGTTTTATACGTACACAGATAAAACAAATAGAAACTTACATCATCACACGATATTAAATAACTTACATCAGTCGTTTTACAGTGTGTCATTGATCTGGAATATATCTCATGGTGAGAAAATCGTTTGTCAGTCTTCACTGTTAGAGTAAGGGGAACAAGCACGTGAAGAAACCAAGTGATTTTCTCGAGTGTTTTAAATTTAACTGACGAGTGGTATTCACATTTCAAAACCCAGCTGTAAAACAGTGTAACACTAGTATTCAAATCTCAGCTGTAAATGTGTAATAATAGGATTCAAACCACAGCTGTAAAATAGCCTAACACTAGAATTCAAACCCCACCTGTAAAATAGTGTAACACTAGGATTCAAACCACAGCTGTAAAATAGCCTAACACTAGAATTCAAACCCCAGTCGTAAAACAGCCTAACACTAGGATTCAAACTTCAGCTATAAAATAGTGTAACACTAGGATTCAAACCACAGCTGTAAAATAGCCTAACACTAGAATTCAAACCCCAGCCGTAAAACAGCCTAACACTAGGATTCAAACTTCAGCTATAAAATAGTGTAACACTAGGATTCAAACCCCCTTTAAAACAGTATAATGAGTGGGACTAAGTCCATCTCTAAAACTGTTGTAGTTACTCGCTTTCATCAAAATTGTTGTGAACCAAATATGTCTTACAATCACTGGAGGGCAACAACAGATTCTGTTCACGGTGAGATCAGGTCACGTGTGCAGATGGAACACACAACAACGACTGGCGGAACAGTCGGTCACGGTTTGTGAGTACCAGCTTGCTCTGGTCACCTGGAGGTAATCTTAAACCCGGGATCAGAAGAAGAAAGAAACCGTGCAGGAAATGTGCATGCTAATATACTACATTCACGCAACTCGAAATGCACGAGATTCGTTTCGGATGAAAAAAAAAAGACAACAACACATTGTTTTCGTTTTGTCGATTAAACTCTTGGATAAGAGTAATAATTTAATTTCTAAGAATCAGTCTTCTCATGACGTCTTGTTAAAAACGCACTAAACATGTTATTATTTTAATATTAAATGTTTTATGAATTGTTAATAAATTGTGATTGGACACTTTCTACTTGTGTTACACATTGTTTTGGCTTAGCTAAGCTCCTATTGGCTAGAATATATATTGGCTGGATATAGCGGATACAGTCATACAGTATGGATGAGATACTGTTATACATTATTTACTTGTATCCAGATATTCTTAGTAATAAAATAGTATTGCTATTAATTCTAAGAGTGAAAGAAAGCAAAGGAAAATGTATTATATTAACCACGCAGCTAAGCCAACCGTTCAAACACTACCAGTATTACTATTATAACACCACTGATATTACTACTACTACAACAACTAACGTAAAATCGTAATAATACTAATAGTATTGCTATTAAACCCAAAGTCGTACTAATAATACTAGAGTGGTAAGATATCGTAAGTAGCTAGAAAGTAAAATTGATCTCACTTTCACGGTAAAACTTAAACCACTACGTACGTTAACCTGGGATTTTCTACCCTCTCTCACACATACCGTCAAAAGTAACAGAACCTACTGCTGGAAGGAAGACGGGTCGAGCAGGAAGGAGAACAAACGGCCTCCTAGCTGTTACAACTAAAGGAACATAATCAGAACGTTGACACGAGCGTTAGGCGATCACGTGACCATACAGTGGAAGAGTTCAATCGTGTTCACGGTGAACTTTTTCGGTAGAGTTTTGGCTGTAACGTATTCACAAGTTATCAGTTTAACCTTTTGTTTACACAACGCTGTTTATGTTTAAAGCTAAACAACCATCTTCAGTTCAGATGTGTACAGACATCTGCTGTTTCATTTACTTGGAAACGTAACTTGATGTTTGTGTAAACAGCTAACCAAAACGACATTATAAACGATCTGGATATATAGGGGCCAAGGTCGTTTATCTGTCTTGGAAAGTTCTCTCCTGTTTAGAAAGAACATCGATATCAGATATCTTAAAGTCATAAAGCTTTACTTAATCCTGTGGATTTGGCGCTACTTCATTATTAGGGTTAGATTTTGTCTTTGATTCTCTGGATCTTTTCCTTGATCCTGTGGACTTAGTACTACTTCATTATTAGGGTTAGATCTTGTCTTTAATACTCCGGATCTTTTCCTTGATCCTGTGGACTTAGTACTACTTCATTATTAGGGTTAGATTTTGTCTTTGATTCTCTGGATTTTTTCCTTGATCTTGTGGACTTAGTACTACTTCATTATTAGGGTTAGATCTTGTCTTTAATTCTCTGGATCTTTTCCTTAATCCTGTGGACTTAGTACTACTTCATTATTAGGGTTAGATTTTGTCTTTAATTCTCTGGATCTTTTCCTTGATCCTGTGGGCTTAGTACTACTTCATTATTAGGGTTAGATTTTGTCTTTGATTCTCTGGATCTTTTCCTTGATCCTGTGGACTTAGTACTACTTCATTATTAGGGTTAGGTTTGTCTTTGATTCTCTGGATCTTTTCCTTGATCCTGTGGGCTTAGTACTACTTCATTATTAGGGTTAGATCTTGTCTTTAATTCTCTGGATCTTTTCCTTGTTCCTATGGGCTTAGTAGTACTTCATTATTAGGGTTAGATCTTGTCTTTGATTCTCTGGATCTTTTCCTTGTTCCTGTGGACTTAGTACTACTTCATTATTAGGGTTAGATATTGTCTTTAATTCTCTGGATCTTTTCCTTGTTCCTGTGGGCTTAGTACTACTTCATTATTATGGTTAGATCTTGTCTTTAATTCTCTGGATCTTTTCCTTGATCCTGTGGGCTTAGTACTACTTCATTATTAGGGTTAGATCTTGTTCTTGATCTAACAGGAATTATCGTACGAAAGTTTACCAAACCAAGATGGTTGACAATATATTTATAAGAAAGTATTTGACAAGATGTTACGTCATATATACAAGATGGCCTCTGTTTCATGTAGTCTTATCTCTGAAATGATATACACATCATCGTTGCTAGGTGACCGTCTGCAAGTTAGTGTTGACAGCTGTACCTTTCTGGCATTCTGGGAAACTATACAAAGACAATTAACATAAATCTGGTGACTGAAAAAATGTTGGACAAAGAAATATACCAGACAACATGGGAAACATTACAAGAAACATCTAGCATAAGTCTGCTTGTTTATGAAGCACACCAGATGTGCTTTTTTTCTTTTAGGCTAGAAAGATAAACATTTCTGGTTACACGAAATTACGAGAACAAATCATACACATGCGCGTTAGTAGCAGACATTCATACACATGCGCGTTAGTAGCAGACATTCACACGCATGCGCGTTAGTAGCAGACATAGACCGTGGGCTTTGGAGTTTGGTGTTTTTTAAAATATATATATATATTCTTGAGCTACTCACACATTGTCAAGGTATTGCTGCTCCTTCTCAAGGAAGGTGTCGCTAGAGAATTACTTAGACTTGTAGTAATGTATTCTCAAGTAGCATTGGTCGTGTAGATGTCCTCCCTATTGCTATTTATGGGATGTGGAGAGGAATGCATTCTAGGAGAATTGACCCTGTTCAAGTAAGTCTTATTTAATTTTTTTTCCTGTTACAGGTATCTAACCAACTTGGAAAGGAGTACTGTCCGTCACTCAGTATCCATGTCGTGATTGAGTTGTATTTGTTTGTCCTGTGTCGTACTGAAAAACTTGTGGCCAGTTTTTTTTTCCTCTTACTTAGTCCACACGAAACCGAGATTTAAATCCGCGATACGTGAGATTATCAGATAGAGTAAGTAATGCGAAGAGGATTGTGGCTAATTGAGAGGATATAAGAGATTTAGGGAAAGGATGATGTGTGAACGGGAGCATATAAGAAGTTTCTATATAAATTAATTTCATTTAGACTTGTTTGCTACACGAGAGTTACCTGCACTAGTCTTCCCTAATATTAAAATGATGGACTAGAATGCAAGAGCTTTAACAGATGATAGCACACGTCGGCAGTTCTAGTGGGATCTGACAGTTACTGTTATAACACACTGTCTCAACCACTAGAACACGCCTGGGACTATTTAGGTGAAGAAGATAAACACGTTAAAACTGTTAACTGTATTGCGTTTAGCACACACACACAACATTAAATAGATAATAGATGCCAAATCCGATGTAGGTTAGTTAAGTCTTAGTAGGCTAGCTATGTCTTTGATGTTCTCCATACAAACAGTCAGTATTTTTGTTCACAGTCTGTTGATTCATATGTTCACCATCATTTTACCTGAAACTGATTTATCATCAAATACGTAGAAACTGACCAAATTTTAACAGCCATTCTGAGAAAGAAAGTAAAATATATAAATCTAGTGATATGCAGTTAAATACCAACGAATAGTGGGATTGACCGTCACATTATAACATCCCCACGGCTGAAAGGGCGAGCATGTTTGGTGTGACGGGGATTCGAACCCGCGACCCTCAGGTTGCGAGTCGAGCGCCCTAACCCTCAAATTAAAGAAGCAACCGTCGATGCCAATTTTAACACTAGAGGGCGTTTTAACGCGTTTTATG